TAATATTAGTTAAATCAAATTTTTTCAAAAAACATTGGTAAAGCAAAAAAAACACATTTATTAAATAATCAAAATATAATATAATATAAATTATATTTTATATATAAATTAATTATAAAAGTAAACACTAAACAATGGTGTATTAAAAGTTCTTCTTCTCTTCTTTTATTTTTATAAACAAATATGTTTAAAAATTATTATAAATAATTACTTAATTTTATTAATAATAATTTATTAATAATAAATAATTATTACTTAGTATATCATCTTAACTATGTAACTTATAGGAAAAACTTAAAATGCATTAAGAGTTAAATTTTATTAACCAATCAAATTGCACTATGCTGCACAGTAAAGACAGAGACAACAATAACAGAGTTTATATTGCAACGATATTTTAGTTCTCTACCCACCCTCACATTAAAAAAGGTCCTTCAAGACAATCAAATTTATATTTACAGCTAATTCAAACAAATAAAATAAGCAAAAAACACACAGAAAATAGCAACAAAATTATAGGAAAGTGGCACAGAAATTGTGATGAAAACTAGCTTATAACCAGTAAAATAGACTGCGAAAATTGGTATACTGTCAACACATGATTGCCGCCTAACTATGTAAATGCAAGTGTTTTCCAACATTAAACAAATGAGACTATGCGTGTGTGTGCGTATGTGTACTTGAACTGCATGTATGTATGGAAAATGTGTACAATTTCTTTTAAAGCAATTTTATCTGTTTTCACATATGCTTTCGTACTTATTTTGGTTATGGAAGTGGACATTTGCCCAACAGATAAGCACAAGTGTAAAGCGTATAAACCTTAACATACACACACATCCACACAGGCACACACATGCACACAAATATAAAACTTCATTACATATGTTTTGTGGGTATGAAAAGTTCTTTCATTCAATTTCATTGCACACAACATTAAGCAAAACCGAAAACGCATGAAATTCTGCTTAGACATTTTGGTTTTGGTTTTTGTTTTTGTTTTTGTTTTTACTTTTACTTTTGTACTCGTCTTGTTTTCGTTCAGGGCAAATTCTTTTCATTTTGTTTCATTTTTAGCTTCTAATGATTTTATAGTTGTTGTGTTTGCTTTTATTTTTGCTTTCTATAGTTGTTGTTGTATTTTATATTTCTAAAGCTCGTTTTTATTTTAAATTTGTACGTTCTAACCAATTTGTTGTTGTGTTAGGACATGTGACAACAACGTTGAGGCTATAACGTTGATGATGACAACAACTACAACGAAGCTCAATGTTTTTTTTCTTTTTTTGTATTAAACCAAGTAAAAAACATTGAAAATAAAATTTCAACATACTATGAATTCGCATATGAAAAGGAAGAGGAAGAAAAAGTATTGCATAGACGACGGTGACTTGCCCAAGGAACTAACTAACGAAGAACAGAAGCAAATAGAATTTTGTACAAAAATAAAATGCGTATTTTTTTCGTTTTTAATTTTTATTGCTTAAGACAATGGCAGGGGGCAAGAGGGTTAAAACTGCGTAAAAGTAATTAAAATTTGGTCTTGTTAAGAATTTTCAAAGAAATTTTTCAATACAAAGAAAATTCAAACAAAACTATTAGAACTCCTTTTATGGTAAACATAGAAATAAACTATGAGTTGTCATATATGTTCAATTTTTCTATAATTTATTTCAATTTTGAATACAACTTGTTTGTTTAATATAACAAAAATAAAATGATTAATAATCAATAATTAAATTTCTGAAATAATTCTCAGTAATAGTATATCATATATATATATATATATATATCGTTGGAACAGCGCACCGTCTAACAAGTGGCCCCACTAAAGTGAAGGATTAGTCGAGGTAGACCACGAAACGACTTGTACATCATAATAAATACTTATAAAATTAAATAATTTACTCCAAAAATATATGCGGATTTATCCCTCTTGTGCTACTAGAAGTACACGTTAATATACAATTCCCCTGATTGAGGTTCATATCAAATTTTAATTTATTATCATAAAGTGTGAAAATCATTTAAATATTGTTCTCAGTATAACTTACAGTACTGGGTTTTGTTGAAAAAGTTTTGTCAATGCATAACTAAACATTTGACATATACGATAATAATATTTTATATATGTTACTGGAATAGTGGCTGTCCCTTATTAGGAAAGGTTCTAACCATTTTTACTGATGGCTCTAAAATAGCTGGCGGTGGTAAACAGTGGAATCCTCCAAGGAATTATATAAAACTATTTATTAAAGTCGTCTTGTTCTTTGTAGTGTTTTGAATAAGAGGTCATATATATATCTTATAAAACATAGCAAGATCTCGATCTAAAGACAATTTTAGGCTTTGCTGAAGGTAGAATGTGGTTTTAAAACCTTTTAGTTGCTTAAAACCCTAGTAAAATTGAAGAATAGGTTTAAGGGGATCATTAAGACAGTCGTTATACGTTGACCTAACCTTACCTATTCCAATATTGTTACCATATTAGAACCAAAAAATT